TTTTAAAATATATATACTTGAGATATTTTGTTTCTTTTCAAATATGAATGGCATTTTCTTAAAAAATTGTTTTTATATAATCATTTACATAAAATGCAATTAATGTTTGTGTGTAGCTTTTGTAATCTGCAGCTCTGATGAGCTCACTTATTGGTTCTATCAGGATTTTGCAGATTTCTTCAGATTTTCCATATAGGAACCATGGTATCTATAGCATTATTTATTTGTTTCCAATCTTTACATGTTTCTAATTATTTTTCTTACCTTATTGTAGTGACTGTAATCACTTTATGTTGTACAAGCACTATTTTGAATAATAGTGGTAAGAGCAAAAATCCTTGCACTGTTCTTGATTTGGGGAGAAACACTCAATCTTTTACCATTAGGTATGTAAATAGCCATAGGTTTTCTAGATGCTACTTATCAAATTGAAATAATTCCCTACTAATTCTAACTTAGAGAATGTTTGTTCAAAAAGGATGTCGAATTTTTAAAAATACTTTTCATGTATCAATTGACATTTTCATACAACCTTTCTTTTCTAAACAATTGGTATGGTCAATTATACTGACTGATTTTTGAATTTTGAATTAGCCTGGCATCCTTTCAATAAACTAGACTTGTTCATGCTTTATCATTCCTTTTTACATTGCTTGATTTGGTTTTCTATTACTTTTGAGGATATTTACTTCTATGTTTATGAAATATGTTGTCCTGTATTTCTTTTCTTAATTTTATTTTCATGGTATTCTCTATGGTTTTGGAGTCACGACAGTACTTATCTCCTAAAATGAATTGGAAAGTGTTCCTTTTTTTACATTTTCTGAAAAAGACTTACATTTACCCAGAGAAGGTTATCTAGTCTGTTCTACAGAACAGGCATATGCAATGTACAGGCAGACACATACAATGAGTAGTAGGTAAGGTAAACTGGAAAAATGTGAATAAGATCTGTAGATTTTATTATTGTCAAAAATCTTGTGATTTTGAACTACAGTATATATTGGACGTGTATATAGGAGCTCTCTGTATAATTTCTTATGGAGAATTGGTGTTAATACTGTTTTAAAAGTTTTTACACTCCTGCACTGACAAAACAGAACCTTCTAGATTTCCTTTTAGAATATTCTGATTAAAATTTAAATCTTTTAGTGATTAGAGATGCAACTAGATTAGCGATTCAATCTTGATTGGGTTTTAGCAGTTTGTGGTTTGAGTAATCATTTTATTCCTAACTTACATAAATACTTAAACATAAAGTTCGCTATAATATTTTCTTGACACCCTTTTAAAAGCTGCAATTTGAAGTAATGTACTTTTAAGCTCTGTATTTTTGTATTTTTGTGTGTATGTCTGTATTTTATTCCAATTTATTTCTTTTGATTCGTATATTTAGACCATTTGCATTTAAGGTAATTATTGAAATGTTAGCACTTAAGTCTCTTATTATATAATATGCTGACTGTTTGATTCCTCTGCTTCTAGATTCTTTGTTTCTCTTGATTTATTTATAGTGTTTCTGGGTTTATCTCTTTGTATAGCTTTAGTGGTACTTATTCTGGATATTATAATTAAATTTGTGACTCATCGTAAACTGATAATACCAACTAATGAAAACCTCACTTCCATTTAGGTCCCTTTTGGTTCAATTTACATCTCTAATTCCATTGAACTTACCTTTCCCACTTTCAAATATTATTGTCTAGAGTATTAGATGTTGGCATAATTTTTGTTTCAATCATCAAACGTGATTTAAAATATTAAGCGAAAGATAATCTATCTTATACACCCACATTTCTGTTTTTACCATTGTTTTTCTTTTCTGATGCTCTAAGAATTTTCCTCTTATTATGTCCTGTCTTTATGAAGAATTTCCTTGAGCTAATCCTCAAAAGTAGGTTTGCTAACTCTACATATTTAAGCTTTTCTTCTTATGTGAATCTCTATTTTACTGTTATTCATAAAAGAGTTTTTGTAGATGTAGAATTCGCAATTGATAGGTTTTTAAAATTCTTGAACAAAATAGTGCCTCTTCTGGACCCCATGGTTTTTGATAGGCAACCCACAGTCATTTGATTAAGCAGTCCTCTGTAGGTAATGCATTGTTTCTCCCCAGATACTGTCAAGATTTTAAATTTGCATTTAGTTTTCAAAGGCTTAATTATGATGTGGCTTGGCATGGAGTTCTTAGAATTTACCTTATTTGACATTCCAGTTCTTGAATCTGTCGGTTTGTGCCTTTAATCAAATTTGGGAAATTTTCAACTATTATTTGTTTGAATATGCTTTCATCCCTACTCTCTCCTTGTCTTTGGAGAATCTGATAATATACATACCAAATGCCAAATCTTTAGATACAATCCCCAAAATCCCTTAGACTCTGTTGATAATTTTTTCCATCTATTTTGTCTCTGTTAGTCTGTAATTTCTACCTTGTTCTTTCATATAACTATTTCTTTGCTCACATTTAGTTTTTTATACTCTGAAGAAAATTTGTAATTTACTGTTGCAGTTTTTTTCAGATTTAGCACGCAGGTACAGGCATACATGTGTGGTCTGTGGTTCTGATAGAATTTTAATATTTAGAGCCATTTCAGTGGTATTGTGGTCTACTTTGTTTTACTGAGGCTCCTACCCGTCCCTGCTTGTGCTGCCTGACTCCGCAAAAGGAGTTTCTATGGGATGGGCTGTCAAGTGTCTCTATGAAAGGCAGAAAGGTCTCAGCCTGGCTGGAACAGTGAGGTTCTTGTTTTAACAGGTTTCTGTGCAGTGTCCCTTCACCACCCTGAGAGCTTTTATCAGAGCAGGGGCTTCTTAGTCTCACAAAGACACAAAGAAATTTCCCTGGTTGTCCTGCTTCTGATCTCTGTGTGATCCCTTTGCCTATGCCCTTCAGTCTCTCTAATGACTATAAGCAAGGAAGGGAGTCTTAGGCTCACATAGACAAAGAGACTTCCTGGGCCAAGTTGCTTATTGTGTCCGGGTCCTCTTTGCTGGTGCTGTCCAACCACCCAGTGTCCCTGGAGATCCAGAGGAGTCACAAGGCAATGGAACCAAAAAAACTGCCTGGGCCGGGGGCTTGTTTTACCAGGGTCCCTCTTGCTGGTGCTCCTGATCAGCTTCAGCATCTTTCCTTAGGTAGCAGAGTCTTTGACAAAGTAGGGAAAAAGTGCTTCCTGTGGCTGCTTATTATTAGTGGGTCTCATTAACTCGCTTCATTTGCAGTGTGAGGTTTGCCTGGTGTTTTCAAATGGACTCTTGTACATTCTGGGTGAGAAATTAGTCTCTTTGGACTGCCTTTTGTTGGTAGGTTGGGGCAGAAAACTACACATCTGGGTCACATTCCCCTGGCAATATCTTTGTATAGTCTTGGCATTAGGGTAATTCTAGTCTCATTAAATGAGTTGAAAATTGTCCTTGCCTCTCCCATTTTCTGGAAAAGATTTATAGAATTAATATTATTTTATTCTTAATTGTTTGCTAGACATTTAAGCCCAGATATTTCAGCTATTAATAGTATTTTCTTATGGGATTATTCAGGTTATGCATTTCAACCTGAATGAGGTTTGAGAATTTGTTTGTTTCAAAAAAAATTAGTTCATTTTATTTAAATTGTGAAAATGATGGCATTTGATGTTTTGATATATTATCTTGTTATACTCCATGTCTGTGAGGTCTGTAAGTGAGCCTCCCTCTCTCATTACTGTTTTAGGAAGTCTGATATATTTTTTCGTATTTATATTTCCTTTGTATTGGTCAGAATTGTTGAAAGACTTGTCAATATTATTTTTATTTTTCAAGGAAGGAACCAACTCTGTGTTTTCTTGCTGTCCTATTGTAGGTTGTTTTTTTTTTTTTTTTACTTTCAATATCATTGAATGTGTTTTCTGATTTTTTTAAAAAATTAATAGAACATTAGTTTTCTATAAATTAATACATTACACAGATAATTTCTATATAACCTCTGAAAACAATGTTTCTGCTATTATTGTCTTTCATGTGATAAATTTGCTACAATTGATAAACTAATATTGATGCATTATTATTAACAGAAATTGATAGTTTACATTAAGGTTCACTTCTTGTGTTGTATAATTCTACGGGTTTTAACAAATGCATAATGTCATGTACCTATCATTACAGTGTCATGTAGAATAGTTATCACACCCATAAGTCTCTTGTGCTTCACCTATTCATCATTTACTTCATAACTCCCCCTCCAACCCTCAGCAAATAAGGACCTATTGAGCATCATTATGGTTTTCACATTTTCCAGAATTTTAGATATTTGGAATCCTACTATATGTAACTTTTTCAGGCTGGCTTATTTCACCCACAGTAGCCATTTAAGATTCTTCTATGTCATTTTGTGGCTCAATAGCCCATTTCTTTTTGTTGCTGATAATATTCTATTGTACGAATATACTATGGTTTTCTCAATCAATTTGCCTATTGAAGAACATCTTGATTTCTTCCAATTTTGGACATTTATGAATAAAATTGCTATAAACATTCATGTGCAGATTTTTGTATGGATATAAGTTTTTGTTGTTTTTTATTTTATTAAAATTTTATTATTTGTAAATTGTATTTTTTTATTGCATTTTAGGTTTTGGGGTACTTGTGAAGAACATGCAAGATTGTTGCATAGGTACACACATGGCAGTGTGATTTGCTGCCTTCCTCCCCTTCACCTATATCCGGCATTTCTCCCAATGCTATCTCTCCCCACCTCCCCACCCACCCCGCCCCGCTCCCATTTCCCCCCAACAGATCCCAGTGTGTAGTGCTCCCCTCCATGTGTCCATGTGATCTCATTGAGTTTTTGACTCACCTGGGTAAATACTTAGGGACACAATAGATTATCAGGTAAGACAATTTTAGTTTTGTAAGAAAATGCCTAGAATGTCATCTAAAGTGGGCTGTACCATTTTGAATTTCCAACAGTAGTGATTAAAAATTCCTGTTTTTCTCTATCTTTTTTTTTTTTTTTTGAGACTGAGTTTCGTTCTTGTTACCCAGGCTGGAGTGCAATGGCTCGATCTCGGCTCACCACAACCTCCGCCTCCTCGGTTCAAGCAATTCCCCTGCCTCAGCCTCCTGAGTAGCTGGGACTACAGGTGCGTGCCACCATGCCCAGCTAATATTTGTATTTTTTAGTAGAGACGGGGTTTCACCGTGTTGACCAGGATGGTCTCGATCTCTTGGCCTCGTGATCCACAAGCCTCGGCCTCCCAAAGTGCTGGGATTATAGGCGTGAGCCACAGAGCCCCACCCATTGTTCCCTATCTTTATCAGCTTTCGTTATTTTCAGCTTTATTGAATTTTAGCCATTTTAATATGGTTTATGGTTTACGGTTTGTTTTGATTTGACATTTTTTAATGACATATGATGTTGAGCATTTTTACATGCTTACTTACCACTTTTTTTATATTCTCTGTTAAGGCTTCCACTAAGATCTTTTGTCCATTTATAAACTAGATTGCTTGTTTTCTCATTGTTGCCTTTTTTTTTTTTTTTTTAAAGATGTTTTGGACACAAGTCCTTTATCAGCTGTGAATTTTACAAATATTTCCTCCTAGTCTGTGGCTTGTCTTTTTCTTCTCTAGATAGTGTCTTTCATGGAGCACAAATTTTTAATTTTAAACTAGGACAAAATTATTTTTTTCTTTCATGGATCATGTTTTGATGTTATATCTAAAAACTAATTTACAAGCCTAAAATCACATAGATTTTCTTCTATGTTGTCTTCTAGAAATGTTACAGGTTTGTGTTCTAAGTTTAGGTCTGTGACACATTTTGAGTTAATTTTTGTGAAAGGCATGTAATCTGTGTCTAGATTCATTTTTCTTGATGAGAAAGTCCAGTTATACCAATAGCATCTGTTGAAATAACTATCATTTGTCCTTTGAAGTGCCTTTACCCTTTGTCAGTAATTAGATGGGCTTGTATGAGTTGATATCTGGAGTCTGTATTCTGTGCTGTTCCTTTGGTCTAATTGTCTTATCTTTTTCACTGTCAATACCATACTTTATTATTTTTTGATTTGGGCCATCATTGTGTTTAACCTTTTCTTCTTTCTCTTAATATAAGGTGAAATACTATTGATTTCATACCTTTCCTCTTTAATATAATAACTATATTATAAATGTTATAATAATAATTATTTTAGATGCATCCCACAAATTTTGATGCTGTATTTTTATTTTTATTGTAATAAAAATATTTTAACCCTTCCTTGGGACACCCTCTCTGATTTATGAGATTTTAAGATGTATGTGCATCTTAGTTTCTCAATAACTGGGGATTTTTCAGACATATTTCTGCTACTTTTTTCTAGTTCTATCATCATCACAAAACATATTATAGTTATGAAGCATACTTTGTGGCTATAATGGAATTTGAAATAAGTAGCGGAAAAATATCTGCTTTAAAAAATATTAGCAGGCATGGTGGCTTATGCCTATAATCCCAGCACTTTGGGAGGCCAAGGTGGGAGGATCACTTGAGGCCAAGAATTTGAGACCAGCCTAGGCAACATAGTGAGACTCCATAGGTACAAAAAAGTAGAAAAAAAATACATTAGCCAGGTATAATCATGTGCACCTGGACGATAATACATTAGCCAGGTATAATCATGTGCACCTGGATGATTGCTTGAGCACAGGAGTTCAAGGTTATGGTGAGCTCTGATTGTACCACTACACTGTGACTGGGTAACAGGAGACCCTGTCCCTGAAAAAAAAAAAGAAAATGCTAAGGCTTTTAAAAAAATAGCCATAATATGGTCTATCTTAGTGAATCTTTCATGTGCATTTGAGAAAAATGTGTTTCCTGCTTTTGTTGGGTAGAGTCTTCCATAAATGTCAGTTGGGTCAGGAAAGTTGAGTGCCTTTCTGAGCTTCTGTATCCTGATTTATCTTCTAAATATTTATTATGTTAATTCACAAGAGAAGACGATGTGATGAATATTCTGTTTATTTATTGGCTTACATATATTTTTTTTTTTTTTTTTTTGAGATGGTGTCTCACTCTGTTAACCAGGCTGGAGTGCAATGGCACAATCTTGGCTCACTGCAACCCCTGCCTTCTGGTTTCAAGTGATTCTCCTTTCTCAGCCTCTCAGTAGCTGGGATTACAGGCAATTCTTCTGTCTCGGCCTCCCAAATAGCTGGTATTACAGGTGTGCACCACCATGCCAGGCTGGTCTCAAACTCCTGACCTCAGGTGATCCTTCTGCCTTGGCCTCCCAAAGTGCTGGGATTACAGGTGTGAGCAAACACACCCAGCCCTATTTTGTCTTTTATCCTTAGGTCTCAGCCAATGTCTTCTACATTAGCACAGAATACATTTTTATTCAATGCACTTTGTATTAAAAAATGTCTTAACTTATGTATAGTTTACTTTGGAAAACTATACAAATGACCACAGAGATCCTGACTGGCAAAGATGCACTTTTATCCAGTGACTTATGGTTTTGTAAATGGATGTGAAAAGAATTGGACAAAGTGGTAAATTAGAAATTTACCTCAAATGATTTTTAGAAATACAATGAAATCAAGTTTCATCATACAATATATTTTGCAAGTTATAGTAACCACATGGTCATTATTAAATTACTTAAGCTTCTCCAGAAAACTCAGAGGACCATCTGAATTTTCATCTGGAATGAAGGAATAAATGTCTCACTAAATGCATTTGTATCTTAAGGAGACAATGAAATGCATATTTTTTTCTCTACAATTATGCTACCTGTATCTTGCTTATCCAAATTACACAAATATATTTTAATGCATATTTATTTTTGTCCTAGTGGATGTACTGAATTGCATAGTATAAAATAGAAAGCAAGTGTAGAATATTAGCTCTGATTAGAATTACTCAACAATTAGTTCATCCCCTTCCATGTGGCAATATAGAGAAACATTATAATTACAAAATCTATGTTTCAGTAAAGTAGTTACCTAAAGGTTGTATTAATAGTAACTGGGTTCTCAACAGCGAATGCAGTAAATGTCCTCTCTTTCATGTTGCCACTGGGAGGTTGTGTCTGGACTTAAGGCATTTGAATGCTATAAGAAGTCACATTTGTTAATACCTGAATCAGCAATGGGCTTTAACAGAACCACACAAAAAATTGCTTTAATTTTCCATCTTACACATTAATAGAGGTCAAGTCAGCTGGTAATATTCCACAGACTGACATATTTTGCAGTCAACTCATTATTAGAAGTGTCTCATTTAAGATTCTTAGAGTAGCTTGGCTTTTTTTCTAGGCTGTTACTCCTAGCTGTTTCACCACTTTTAATTATTCCTCCTCTGCATGTATTGAAATGGGATGCCTCAAGGATACCGTGATGACAACACTGAGCAACATTGTTTTCTATATTTTGAGAAGGATATTGTTAGACCACTAGGCAAAATAGAAAGGTGGATTTAATTTGCATCAAATAAATATACTAAAGCTAAATGAATTAAAAATGCAAATACATTATTAACATCCAGCTAAGAATGCTTAGGAATTGTTTTACTTCTAAGTATTCAATCCCATCACCTCTATAGAAAGAAGCATGGCAATCTCTTCTCCAGCAGGGCATATGTCCTGTCAAAACATTGTTATTTTGCATATAAGGTCAGAATGTAAAACACATGTCAAGGCCATTGCTTCCTGCTCCTCTGTGTAGTGTAGCAAGTAGTAAGCATAATATTTTCCTGATTCATCTTCCTTAGACAAAATAAATACTCCTTGGTTTCTATGATTTAAGCAAAGGGAAAATAAGAAAGAAAAATATTGCTTTAAAGGGATGATTTTTTTTAAAAGTAATTAAATAAAATTTTCCCTTATAAAATTCAGTGTGTCATTTTTTATATTAGAAACCCTAAAAAATTTCCATGAACTGAATATTTACTACATTTGAAAATTACGGAATTTTCAACCATAGATTTTCTGCAAGAATTATATGCCCAGGCTTAAAGATAAAGTCCTGTTTCAAAAAAAAACATTAGATAATTTAAATTACCAATTCTGCAATAAACAAAAATCATGCAGTTAGCAACACTATTTAGACTTATACATAATCTATATGATAAATCCAACCAATTAATATTTCCATTATCAGTAGTGATTTTCCAAGATTAACACCAGTATTTGCTAATCTTTTCAAGCTCACTACTGAGATAAGACATTTATTTCAGTAACTTGATTTTTTTTTTTTGCAATCATATAAACTGAAGTTTGAGTGAAACTCTTAGATTATATTTGAGAGACATATTTTGAAAGAACCCTTCATACATACATTATTTGCAATTTCTTGTTTTGAATAGCAAGAAAATCATGTTTTCTATGACTCATAGAATTGTGCCTCCATATCCATGGGTTCTGCATTTGTGAATTCATATACACCATGGAATATTATGCAACCATCAAAAACGATGAGTTTGTGTCCTTTGTAGGGACATGGATGAACCTGGAAACCATCATTCTCAGCAAACTGACAGAAGAGCAGAAGATCAAACACCGCATGTTCTCACTCATAGGCGGGTGTTGAACAATGAGAACACGTGGACACAGGGAGGGGAGCACTACACACTGGGGTCAGTTGGGGGGAAATAGGGGAGGGACGGTGGGGGGTGGGGAGCTGGGGAGAGATAGCAAGGGGAGAAATGCCAGATGTAGGTGATGGGGAGGAAGGCAGCAAATCACACTGCCACGTGTGTTCCTATGCAACAATTTTGCATGTTCTTCACATGTACCCCAAAACCTAAAATACAATAAAATAAATAAATGGGAAAAAAAAAGAACTTCCCCCTTTGAAAAAACCTTTCAAAAAAAAAAAAAAAAAGAAAATATCTGTTAAATAAATTGCATTTGTACTTAATATATACAGGCATTTTTCTTGTCATTATTTCATAAACAATGAAGTATAACAACTGTGTATTTAGCATTTAGGTTTTATAGGAAATCAAGATTATTTAAAGCATATGGGAGGATGTGTGTAGGTTTTATTCAAACTGTTATTTTATATCAATGACTTGGCTGTCCACAGATTTGATATCCAGGTGATATACTGGAACCAATTTTCCATGAATACTAAGGGATGACTGCAATTATATTTCTTC